AAAAGAAAAAAGGCTCATCACAGACTGGGAGAAAACACGTGCAAAACATAATTCTTTTTTTTTGTTTGTTTGTCTTGTTGCTGGCTGGTATCTGGATTTGAACGCTTGACCTTGGTGTTAAAACACCATGCTCTAACCAACTGAGTTAGCCAGCCAGCCCCAAAACATAATTCTTACAAAAACCCTCTACATCTCATACAACTTATGAGTAAAAATACAAACTATCTGGATCCCCGCACTGGCCAGCTGCCGAGAAAAAAGAGACAAACTACCCAATAAAAGTGGTCAAAAGAGCTGGACAGACATTTCATAAAGGTGATCTACAAATGGTCAATACAGAAGTGAAAAACTACTCAATATGATTAGTCTTCAGGGAAATACATATTAAAACCACAATTAGATACCACAACAAATCCACTGGAATGAACACAATTTAAAAAACCTACTGACAACGCCATATACTGATGAGAACAGGAATTTCCGTTTACTAGTAAATGTGTAAAAATAGTATAACCAATTTTGAAAAGAGTATGGTAGTTTCTTATTAAGCTAAATACACATTAATCCTTTGACACAGCAATTCCATTCAGGTATTTATGCATGAGAAGTAAAAGCATATATCTATAAAAGTAAATGTACAAGAATATTCATAGCACCTTCATTCATGATAACTCCAAACCGGAAACAGCACAGGTGCCCATCAATAGAAGAGTGAATAAACAAACAATGGCATATCACATTATGTGGAGTGAAAGAAGTCTCATACAAAAGAGTATATAGTATACTATGTATTTCCATTTATACAAAGTTCTAAAGCTTTCGATAGTGAGCACTTGAAATGGAGCTAGTGTGAATTGAAATGTAATTTAAGTGTAAAATACACACAGGATTCCAAAGAGTACAAAAAAAGCAAAATATCTCATTAATAATGTTTTTATATTGATTGATTATGTATTTAATTGGTAATATTTGCATAGAGTTAAATAAAATATATTATTAAAATTGTTTCTCTTTTTTACCTTTTAATATGGATCCTATAAAATTTTAAATTACATAAGTGTCTTGCAATATATTTCTGTTGGGTAGCACTGATCTAAAACTTAGAAATAAGACAAAAGGAAAAATGCATGTACTTCCAATATCATCTTGGAGCACAGTCTAACAGACTCGGGGTCTATCTAATTCTCAGGGGTCTGTACCTTTGTTTGTCTTAGTATTTATTACTGATCAGGGCATTGTAATGGATTGAATTATGTCCCCCAAAACTCCCTGAAGCTTGGATTGTGTCCCCCGAGTTTTATGTATTAGAAACTTAGCTCCCACTGTGACTGTTAAAAGGGTGGGAGATCCTATTATGGTAATTGAAAGGTGGAGCCATGAAGAGGTGATTGGATTGTAGGACTTGGCAGTAGAGAGTGGATTAAAAATGGTGGTCAAGGGCGTGGTTCTAAGGGCTTTTTGTTTTTTAAAAGATGACCAGTAAGGGGATCTCAACCCTTGGCTTGGTGTTGTCAGCACCACGCTCAGCCAGTGAGCGAACCGGCCATCCCTATATAGGATCCGAACCCATGGCCTTGGTGTTATCAGCACCGCACTCTCCCGAGTGAGCCACGGGCCGGCCCTATCTGAGGGCTTTAAAAGGAGAGTCTGTGTGTGTGTGTGTGTGTGTGTGTGTGTGTGTGTGTGTGTGTGTGTGTCTCTCTCTCTCTCTGCTCTCTCTGCCTCTGTCATCTTGCAATGTGAGACCCCTGGATCACTGTTGCCACCACCAGATGGACTTTGGACTTCCCAGCCTCAGAAACTGTAAGCAATAAATGTCATTTTTCTTTATAAATCGCCGAGTTCCAGGTATTCTATTATACCAACAAAAACGGACTAATACAGGCCCCAACTGTAAAAATTTTAGCTACTAACTTAAAGAAGATTGGTAAGTTGCAATTTTTTGTCTGGTGGAGACGGAAATGATTTCTGCCTGATAGAAAAATCTAACCAGAGGATAGTTTTATTGCCCTGTAGGACAAGAGTTAGTTGTGAACTTAACTCCACAATCTTATTTCAGCATGCTTTATTTCATTGACTAAATATACTTCTATCTCAGCTATATGCTTTTGAGTCAACATTAGCATTTTGCTGACTCCTTATATTGAATACTTACCATATGCCAGGCACTGTACTTGACTTACATTATCAAGTTTAAGCCTCACGAGAGTCCTGTAGATAGGAGCTATTCCTATTTCCATTTCACAGATAAGAAAACTAAGGCTTAAGAGAATTTTCAAGCTCAAGTTCCCCCAGAGTGAAACTAGTAGTAATACAGGGCTCAGAGTAGTAACAAAGCTGGGATTTAAACTTGGCTCATCACACACAAGTCTTGGCTCTGAACTTCTGTTCTACACTATGTCTTTGCATGAGTGGAATTGTGTCCCCCCCGCCAAAAAAAAGAAAGAAAGAAAGAAAGATAGGTTGAAGTCCTAGCCCCCAGTACTTGTGGCAAAAACAAAGTTACAAAGCTCTCAGTCTGAACCTGTGAAACACGCTGGTTAGCAGCTTCCGCTTGTCAACACTGAGCTTGCACCAATGTTACACAGGCAGGGAAGACTTTGTTCAAGGTATTGCAATAAGGGAGAGAGGCCAGGACTCAGTCTGAACTCAACTCCGCTGAAACAAAGGGTGGTAGGGTTTTTAAGAGCTGGGGTGAGAGGGAGATTGTAGGTCGTGTTTGCTAATTGGCTTTACGCAAAGGAAAGGGGAACTTTCTTGTGTCTTCATGTATCTTCAATACGACTTGGAACAAGGCACCTACCAAAGTTAGGCTCTCACCTCCCTTGAGAAACTGGGAGATAGGAGTTCTATCTCCTTTGATGTTTACATTTCAAAGAGATGATTCCCAGGTCCTTGAGAAAGACATTTCCTGGGTTGTAAACTTGCAAGAGGCTTTTAAAGAGATTTAAGTACCTCTCAAAGGGGAAGAGAAAGAATTTACAAGGAGGAGTTATCTGAAGTAAATGCTCTAAGAAAAGGAAGGTCAGGGGCCTCTGTGGTTATGCCATCTGGATTCTAAGGCTTGGGGTGAGAGGGAGGTCAGGGACCTAGAAGCAGGAAGAAGACTGTCTAATAAAGTTTAGTCAAGCTGAGGGAAATGTTGCGATGGTCTTAGCTCTACTGCTTATTAGCTGGGTGACCTGGGGCAAGTTTCTCAACCTCTCTGGGTCCAATTTCCTTATCTTGTGAAATGTAGATAATACTAACCTCATCGAATGGATGTGTAGATTAAATATATTAATCCGAGTATAGCACTTAAAAATAGTACCTGGCACATAATAAATGTAGTATTTGCTGTTTGTTAATTACTTCACGGTTCTGAGCCTCATGTTCCCCAATCGTTCCATCTGACAATTTATGTAGAAAATTAAATGAGATGATGGATGCAAACACCACTAGTGCAGACCTGACACCTAGTAAGACTTTCATTAATCACTAACATTCCTAAAACTGTAGTTACTGTTACCGATGTTACTGTTTGTGCATGTGTTACTGTTTGTGCATGTGTTACTGTTTGTGCATGTGTTACTGTTTGTGCTGTGTAATAAGAGCTCATGCCCTAATCGCCTATTTCATTATTGTAATCATTATTTTTGTTTTGTTTGGGTTTGGTTTGGGATTTTTTCCAGTGGCTTGCTTTTAATTGGTTTAACCCTTAATCTTTTAAAGGTATAATCAACCAGGTAAGGGTGACAGGGAATATTTCCCAACATTTCTTATGTAAACTCAAATTTTTGGAGTACAACAAGCTCTTCACCATTTTCCCAAGTTGCAAAAATTCTCTTTCCATCCTTTCCCCCTGTATTCCTCTATTCAACCTTGGCTGCCACAATCAGACAGAAAGCGCGAGAACTTTTCTCTTGCATCGACAGTGAAAACCTTAGCAGCAGACGGGAATGTAATCATTATTTACTATTGTTTTGTTATTATTGCTTCAGCTCTCCCCATTATTAATAGTAATGTTGGCAATATTGACACCATTCAACATTGACATAATGTTGGCAATATTGTCTCACCATTCCCCACATCTGATTCCCCTTCAATCAAGACATCCCAAAGCCTACCAGGACGCTTCATTCCCAGGCCAGGCTTTTCCAATCTGGGTCCTCCAGGGCCAGGCCTTCATCTGAGTGGGAGGACATGGAAATGGGCTTAGGCTCCTGCTCCACAACACCAAGCAAAGACTGACAGCAGCAACCTCGGGCCCTTTGAACAAGTGGGATGCAGTGGGTGAGCCCACTGAAGGATTCTTAAACCAGACACAAGGCCAGGTGGGTGGAAGCTGGGGAAGGTGCACTAATCCAGTAGACAAAGTTCTCCTCTGCTTCCTAGCATCGCTGAAAGCCCCCTCACCCCTCAAGCTGCTTAATGATTTCGCCTGTCTCACCAAATCAGTGGGACCACCCACAAGCTGACTAGACCCCAGGAGATCAGAGTTCAAACCCTGACTCCCCACAGAGCTGTGGCTGTAGATCTCAGTTTCTCTACCCTGTTAAAGGTCTTGGCATGCCTGCCTTAGCTCAGCAGCAAGAGGCCATTGTGAGAAATGGGGTGGAAATGACTCCTTTAAAGCACTATACAAAGTCGTTAAATCTTTATTGAGGCCTTTACTTGCCAGAAACTGATCACACAAAGGCATAAGGCATGGTCTCTGCCCTCGAGGAGCTCACAGTCTAGTAATGAAGACAGACGAGGAACCGAGGAACCGAGGAACCGATTCTCACAAGGGAAGGGGTGGGAGCTACAGTCGCAGAGGCGGGAGCCATTGTCCCGCCTTGCCCCTGTCTTCCAGGCTGGCTGGGAGAAAGTGAATAGGAAGCTTATCATTGACTCTCCCGCCTTCCCTGTGACAGCTGACTTCTCTCACTCTGTCCTGGACATCATGAGAGCACCAGGGAGAGACAGGGATGAAGGGGATATAGTTGCTGCCTTCAAAAAGCTAGAACACCCTGGCAGGATATATACAACAGTAACTTTATTTCCTGAAGCCACAAACCAGTGCAGCAGAAGCTGGGGATACTGGGGGACGTCAGAAAATGAAAGGCTGGGCCAGCCCAGTCCAGTGGTGGGAAGGGGAAATAAAGGGGAGTGTGGGTACCCAAGGCCAGGGAAGTAGGGCGAGAGGGAAGTTTCCAGGTGGAGAAGATCACGGTAAGGCACCAGCAGCCATAGCCAACAAAAGGGCTGCCAACCCAGCCGCAGGAGCTGCAGAGCCTTTATTAGAGGGGTACTGGGCCCCACCTTTTACAGGATACTGCCCCATATTACTGCGGTCCTGGTGGCCAGCGGCGCCTCCAGCCAAGCTGTACTCCTCTTTCTGGGGTGCCTCAAGTTCTACTTCCTGTGGAGGAGTCTGACTGGTTGGGGCTGCGGTGGGTTTGGTGGTAGAGGTGGGGGTAGTTGGGGCTTGGATGGCAGTGGTGGCAGAAGTGGTTGAGGCCAGAGTGGTGGGCTTCAGAGGGGGCAGCAGGACAAGGGGTGGAATTTGAGGGGAGAAATAAGTCTTGTTGCGGAGGTCGGAGTTACAGCGGGACCCCTGGCAGCAGGAGCCACTGAGTGTGAACCCTGGTCCTGTCACGCCATCCCGGGTGCAGAACTCGTCCTGGACACAGCCCCGGACAGGCAAGGATACAGTCACATTCGCTGCAGAAGGGAGACACAGATAGGTCAGTGGTTGGAGGGAGGTTGTCACAGCCAGAATGAAAGTTAGGGGCATCAGGGTTAAGGCAATACCAGAGAACCCCCAACACAGGACAGAAGGGCTCTGCATCCATTAATTCAAAAATCTCAACTTAGGTCCCATTCTAAGAAACATGGACACACCAGTCTTGGGCACATGATAGACCATTTGTGTGCACATGATGGTGCTTTGAGAGGAAAAGCGCGTAGGCTGAACTACAGGTTTGCCTTGAAACAAAGGGATAGACCTGGGTACAATACTCCCACAAGACCAAATAGCAGAACAAGCTTCCCCTACACCCCTCCCACCACTTTCCCCATCCCTCACCACCACCACCCCGTCCCGCCAAAAATTAGTCTTAGAGTCAGAACTACATCTCTCACAGTACACCTGGCAGAGGATGGGGTTTGAAGAACTTCATCTCACATGGTTCTCTGCGTAGAGGAGGCCAGAAGGCTGGACTACATCTCTTCTAATACTCTGGGACAGGTGGGGACCCCTTGAGTTTTAAAGGCTTAGAACTAGATTCCCCGCAGTGCCTGGGCAGAAGCTTAGAGGCTTACATACATTTCCCAGAGCACGTCCTCCCATTCTGTACCAGGAAGCCCTCTATGGAAATGTATTTCTCCTAAAAAAAAAAAAAAAAAACTCCGGGACACAAGCATCCCTATCCCCATGCATTTGGGGCGTGGGACTGCATTCCCCATGATGCTCCAGGACAAGACAAGCACTTAGGCCTACAGTTCCCTGAATGCGTTGCAGGTGGGGGAACCCTTTGGGTAAAGGGATCCCTACTGCCCGGGAGGCCTCAGAAAAGCTAGTGCAACTCCTGTGCTCCGGGGCTCGCTCACCTGCCGTCAAGGTGACGTTGCCGTCGAAGCAGCCCTTGAACACGCGGTCGCCGGCGTTGTAGCAGCTCACGACAGGCGGCGCCGTCCCCTGGCACTCGGCGCGGCTGAGCCCCACGCAGCTGTAGCACTCGGCGCCGTTGCGCTCGTACGCACTCTCATTGCCTGCGAGGCGGCGGGAGGAAGGAAGGAGGCCCGCGGGCTCCGGCACGGCCGCTCGGCCTGCAGCCCCGCCCCCAGCCCATGCCTAGTTCTCCCGCCACTGCCGCAGCTCCGTCCCCAGCGAGTGGTCGGCCCTGGCTGTCAGCCCTGAGGGAGCTCCGCCCAACGCACCTGCGGGGTTGAGCTCCCGCGAGGTGAGGTTGAGCTTGGCGTTGCAGCGGTCCCGGGCGCACTGCTGCAGCTGGATGAATGCCAGAAGCCCGTGAAGGTCCAGCCCGCGGTCATTCTTGCCAGGGAGTCCCGAACCGCAGCCCCGCACGGCCACCGAGAACTGACCGTGGACTGCGGAGAGGGGAGGGGCGGGGTCAGGGAGGGCGGGGCCTCGGAGGCGGGGCTTGGAATAGAACAATCCCGGGGACAGACGGGCGGGACCGCGGGCCGGGGCCTCTGCAAGAGCAGCTGCGAGAAGACGTGACAGACCGAAGGAGGGGCGGGGTTACGGAGCGGTGAAGCCTCAAAGAGGTGAGTCCGAGGGGACAGACGGGCTGACAGACAAGGGGCAGAATCGAGGCGGGAAGCTAAGGGGAGGAGGGGGTTCCCTCAGAGCCAGAAAGGGGTCGGGAGGTCTCAGTGATGCGGAGGAAAGGGTGGAGAGGGTGTGTCCTCGTCCCAGACCGGGTCCCCCAGTCCGCCCCACCCAGTTCGAACTCTCAGCCCCCCACCCCTCTAAGCCCTGATAGAGAAGGCCAGGCCTGGAAAGAGGGGCGAGGCTGTGGTGAAGGGATCAGGACTGGCTGAAGGGGAGGGATGGGGCCGCCTTAAAGGGGTGTGGCCAGACTCAGAGAGGACTGTAAGGAGGCGGGGCGGACTGGAGGCGCCTGAAGGGGCGCACATGGAGCACGGGTCCCACTCACTCGTCTCCACCGCCCCCACGGTCTCTGTGCAGACGTCCACGCCCGGAGCGCACTTCACCGTCTTCATCTTGTGCGGAGAGCATCCGTCATCTGCTTTCTGCACGCAGCTGTAGCACTCCAGGGCCTGCGCTCCTGGGAGTGCGGGGCCGAGCAAAACTGAGCGATCCTAGCTAAAGGGGAGCTCCCCTAAAGGAGAAATAGCCCTTCCCCCTCCCTCTGTCCCCAGGATGAGACAATCCTATTGCACATCCTTTTCCAGGGCAGGTATAGGGAAAACCTGCCCACAAATCTGGGGGCGTGGGATACACTGGACCCTTTTCCTTCACACCCTCTATACCTACAGTGGGAACATCCTTCCCACAGCCCCATAGGCCCATGTTAGAGGGTCTGTGCCATGGGGCCCCTCATCCCAAGATAGGGGGGATACCTTCCTACAGTTCTCTGCCCAGAATGGGAGAACTTTTCCCACAGTTGACTGAACTCATTGAGGGATTCCTTCCCACAGCTCCTTCTGACCAGGACAGGGGATCCTTCCCAAAGCCCCCCCTCTGCTCAAGACGAAAGACCTCTGTCCACAGCCCCTCTGCTCAGGCCAGGGGAACTCTTCCCACAGCCTACCTCATACTCAGGATGGAAGAACTTTTCCCACAGTCCTTCTGCTTATGAGGGGAGATCCTTCCCACAGCCCTCTCCGTAGGTCGTGGGGGAAAGACTTCTCCCTGAGAGCCCCAACTCTACTCCCTCCGCCCCCTCCAGCCGCAGACCCACCTTCGAGAAGCATCAGCGGCAGCAGCAGACAACCTGTAGTACAGATCACTGCCTGGGCACCTACTTTCCTGGTGGGGTTCATGGCTCCGTCCTGCTCCCTCAGCGTCCCCCCTGGGTGTGCCGCCTCTCAACCCGGGCCCTCTTACCTGAGCTCAGGATGAGTAACCTACCCCCGGGCAACCCTGGCCTTGCCCAACCAGGCTAACTCAGCGTCCTCCGTGGGGCGGGACCCCGCCCCTAGGTGCGTCACCCAGAGGGGGAGCGGCCCCTTCCCTGAGAAGCTGCCTTTCCCAAGGAGGGAAAGGACGGAAGTCGAGGTTCTCTGACAATTGCCAGGAGAAAGTCTCTCTCTCTCTCTCTCTCTCTCTCTCTTGTGTGTGTGTGTGTGTGTGTGTGTGTGTGTGTGTAGGAGAGTGCTGGGGCTCCGAGAGAGACAGGGGCTGCTCTACATTCGGCATTCTGTAACTATTTAGTGAGAATCTACAGTGTGCCTGGTTTTGGTCTGGGTGATGCTGGAGATTAAGACAGAACCAGTACCTATCCTCGCAGAGCTCACAGTCTGATGGGGGAGACAGATGTTAAATCAAATAATCATACAAGTTGTTATTTACAAGGGAGACTAGGACAGTGAAGGAAGAAGAGTAGGGAGCTGCGAGGAGGCGAGGAGTCTAGAAGTGGGGGCTGGTCAGTGAAGGCTTCCCCGAGGAGGTAATCTGAGATGTGACCTCAAAGACCTGAAGGATTTAGTGAGGTGGAGCAGGACAGAGAGGGGGCAAAGTGCATGACAAGCAGGCAGAGCAGCCACGCAAAGACCAGGAGGTGACAAGTTGCATGCACCATTCAAACGGAGAGGAGAACAGTGTGCTTGGAGCTCAGAGGGTCAAGGAGAGAAGGGTGGACACTGAGGCGGAAGAGTCAGGCAGGGGCCAGACTGTTCGGGGTATTTCGGGCCCTGAGAAAAGATTTTGATTACTTTTGAGAAAGGTGGAGAACATTTGAGAGGGTCTAAATCAACTGGGGGACACAATGAGATTTGCTTTTTAATATGATCAATCTGGGAAATAGTGCAGTGAATGGCAAAATAAAGAGCGGGTTGCTCATGCAGTGGAACACAGCCATGGGAACAATCCAGGGACTGGTATATGCAGCAGTACGAATGAATCTCAAAAATTCTGCCGAGCTAAAGAAGCCTCAAACAAAACAAAACCTACTGTGTAACTCCATCTGTATGAAGCTCTAGAACAGACAAAGCCAGGGGTGATAGAAATTGGAACAGGGATTACCTTTGGGAAGGCACTGCCCCAGAACAGCAATAGGGAGAATCCCCCACTATCTTCATCTGAGTGGTAACTACACATGTGTACAGATATGTAAAAAATCACCACCCTGTATGCTTATGCACTTCACTGGATGTACATTATTCTTCAATAAAATGAAGGAAAAAGGGTCACTGTGACATCTGTAAAAAAGGAAAAGAACCCTAGAAAGGGTGAGAGAAGGCCAGACCAGTGAGGGAACTGTCAGTCTTCCAGGTCAGAAAGAAACAAGCAGTGCCTGACAGCTGGGAGTTGGCCTGGCGCTCTCAGCGAGATGGTGGGGTTCTATTGCACATAAATAATCTCACAGAACAGCAACATCAGACAAGGTCATGTGACAGTGAAGGATGGAGACAAAATCAAGACCGCTCCACAACCATATCATGGTTAAATAAACAAGATCATTGTGCAAGCCACAACATGACTAAGCATTCCCATATCATGGCTAATATAAGCGACTGCTTAGGTTAGATTATATTTTTATATTAATATGAGTTACAGCTTTAACCTTGCTTTGTTTCTCCTGCCTCATAAATAAGATTTATGAAAATACCCAATTATAGCATTACCTCTACTTTGTGACAGTATCCAATGAGAGCTAAACCTTACTTTCTTGCACTGGCCCCGAAATCGTCACACAAAATCCCAAATCTTAAGTCTTTTCTAACACCTTTTTACTGAGACACTTCATAGTTCCCCTGTGATGTGTGTTCTCCCTCCTTTCAAGGAACAATAACCCAATTCGTTCAACTACAGGTGTGTTCCTGGTGGGGAACAGTGACTTGGCGTAGCAAAGGAAAAAAGAGAAAAGTGGGAAGGTCCAAAAAGTTTTAGGACGAAGAACTGGTAGGGATGACTGTTGAATCAAATGTGAGAGAAGAGGCAGAGGGAGGTTTCCAAGATGATTCCAGATATTTCTTGCTGTCAACCACATCATGACAGTAATAACAATGATAACAAAAGTAATAATAATAACAATGATGACCAAGTATCAAGTGTTTTCTATGTTCCAGAAACTGTTCTGAACACAGGGTATGCATTATCTCATGTAATCCTCACCTTTTAAGGTGAAGTGTGGCTGTATCATTTATTGAACACTGACTCTGTGCACTTTCAATGAATCCTCTCTGACTGTAAAGAGAGGACTGAGCCCCATTTCACAGAAGAGGAAACTGAGGTAGGAAGAGGCTTGGAAGTGGCAATACTGGGATTTGAACCCAGGGCTGTCTCCACAGACCCCCACTGTAGCTTGTCAAGTTCAGAGCCTGGGCTTAAACCTGAGCTGATATTTTGCAATGACCCTTAGTTTTGGAGCCATACAGACGTGGGGCTGAGTCTGAACTCTGCCACTGATTTGCTGCGTGACCTTGGGCAAGTGGCTTCAACACTTTGATGTTCAGAGACCTCCTCTGTGAACAGAAACAATGACACAAGTATGTTTATTTAGCACTTCCTATGTGCTGGGCACTGTTCCATATCCTTTAAACACAACAGCCTTATGAGAGATTTTTATGATAGTCAATTTCCAAATGGGTAAATCAAGGCAGAGAGAGGCTTAACAACTTGCCCAGGATCACACAACTAGAAAGAGATAAAGGTAGTATTTGAATCCAGGCAGTCTGGATTGAGAACCCACACTTAGGCACATGGGCACATTGGTTACCAGCTGTGAAACTAACAATTACTTGGCCTCAGTATCCTCTTCTGTAAAATGGGGATCTTAATAGTACCTACCTCATAGGAATGTTGTGGGGGATTAATGTCAAATATATGCCAAATGCTAAAAATAGGGCCTAGTGCTAGGTGCTACAAAAGCATTAGCTATTATTACTACTACTAATAGGTTAAGAAGATTGTCGTTATTATTATTGGTTAATAAAATCCTCCCTTCTTGAGCTCCAACTGTGTGCCAGACAGGGTGCTCGGCCCTTTTATAAGCAATCTCTCCTTGAATTCCTAACAAGGGGGTGGAGAGGAGCATCCACTTTACAGAGGAGGAAACTGACTCTCAGAAAGAGGAAGATACTTGTTCAAGTTCACACAGCAAGGGAAGCGGCAGAGTCAGAAGTCAGACCCAGCTCCACCTGGCTTGCATGCTGTCTGATGGTAGGAAAAATAGCGGCTGTGTTCATAAAGATGTTGTCTGTTCCCCAGACCCTGTTGGGCAACCCCGTTCCCAACAATGACAAGCTCCTCAATCACATAGGTGGGGTCACTTGGCATCATGCTGAGGCTGAGAGAAAGTGAATGACTTCTTGTGAAGTCATTCAGTACTGGCCCCTGCCTCCCTGCCTCCCAGCCTTGCACTCCCAACCCCAATGCTGGTTTGCTGTGTGATGTGCCTTCACCTCCCTCAGCCTCCAGGGTGTCCTTTTTATCATAAAGGAAGGGGTGCCTTTCATGGTGGAGTGAAGCAGTGGGAAAACTATCAAGTCTGGAATTGGACTGAAATTTTAATCCTGTCTCTGCCACCCTCTTGCTGACCTCAGGCAACTCGATCTCCTCGTCTGAACTTCAGCTGCCTCCTTTGCCAAATGGGTTTAAAAACCCCTACTTCCCAAGGGATGGAGCGAGGACCCACTGGGTGGCAGGCAGAGTGACATTACTATTAGTACTCTGCGCTGGCTCTGGAGCAGGAGGCCCTGCAGGGCCCGGCCGCGTGGGAGAGTTTCAGGGAGGAACCCTGACTGGCCCAACTGGAAGAACTAGCATCTTGGAAGGGAGCGGGACCCAGGGTGGGGAGTCTCCTCTTGCTCAGGCCTGCCCAGGTTCTGGGCACTGACTCCCACCTAGTCCAGGACCAGAAAACAGAGGGAGGTTTGAATTCAGGCCTACTGCCTGTTCGATGGCTCTTCCAGCTCTTCTCCACAGACTGCAGAGAACTAGACTCTGGTTTTCCAAGGAGACAAACAGACGGGTCAGTGAGGTGGCCTTCAGCAATGGAGGTCACTTTGGGGCCTCAGAGAAGCCTGTGACAATATCCTCCCCAGGACCAGAAAACAGAGGGAGGTTTGAATTCAGGCCTACTGCCTGTTCGATGGCTCTTCCAGCTCTTCTCCACAGACTGCAAAGAGAACTAGACTCTGGTTTTCCAAGGAGACAAACAGACGGGTCAGTGAGGAGGTGGCCTTCAGCAATGGAGGTCACTTTGGGGCCTCAGAGAAGCCTGTGACAATATCCTCTCTGGGCTTCCTGTCCCCTGAGGCAGGACAGGCTCTGAGCATAATGATGTTCCTAGCCTGTCTCAGACCCACTGCCTCAGGGACGCACTGTCTGGGACGCATCAGGGAAGGAGTGGGATTGGGGCAGGACAGACAGTATAATTTGTGGGGCCCAGTGCAAAATGAAAATGTGGGGATCGGTTCAAAAGCCACTAAAATGTAAACGTTTTTTCCATTCTACCTCCCCAGTCTGTCTCTTGAACCCTCGTGATGTTCAATGTCATGTTCTCTTGGGCACAGGGATATTCATGGGACCAGCACAGACCCTCATAGGTGGCTAAAGACCCTGCCCTGCAACTTGGGCAATCTGGTCGCTGGGTTCCCCTTCCCATCAGCTGCCCACAGCCACGCTCTACCCCAAGAGGCCATGAGGCATCCCTGATCTTCCTGTGCCTGCATCCAGGCCCCTGCCAGAGATGGAGGGTGACAGTGCATGGGCAGGGAAGGGAAGGGAAGGGAAAGAGAACCTGTCCCAGGCAGGTGGAAAGCAGCAGAGGTGGGGCTGCTGTGATATGAGGCTTCAATTACCCAGATCATGCTCCCATCAGACTTCACTTAAAAAACACAAATTCAAAGATAAAATTATTAAGAATTTCCAGATGGTGACCACAGAGCATTAAACCCAAGAGCAGGGCTCTTCTGAGCATGGGGACCTGTCAACTACAACAGTCACATGCCCATGAAGCCGAACCCAGTAAGGGGCCCAGTTTGCAGAGGGGCTGGGAGGTGAATTGATCCAAGAATCCAGATGTCTCACACCTAGAATTCCAGAGGACCTGGGGATTGAGTGTTTCCATTCCCAGGACTCAGGAACACGATATATCTGGATCCTCAAGGGCACTTTGGGGGTGGGGGTGGGGTATCTCCAGAGTTACTGTCTAGAATGCTCAGGTGGAACAGCCCAGGGGATGTGTGGAAGTTCAGAATAGGCACCTGACCCAGCCTAGGGATCAGGGAGAGCTTCCTGATGGAGGGAACACCTTACATGAGACCTAAAGGATAAAAAGAAGTCAGCCAAAGAGTTCTGCCTGCCTTGTCCATGACTATCCTCTGTCCTTAGCATCACTTTATTTAACCATCAGATATTCCCTCAACACCTAGTCTGCACTAGGCTCTGTGCTGTGTGCGGAGGGCTCAGTAGGGACTGAGACAGCCCCAGTCCCTGCCTCCTGAAGCTCCCAGTCAAGAGGGGGAGATAGATTCATCAGCAGTGATGACCTAGGTAGTTAAGGCCATGATGGGAGCAGCACAGGGTAGAGTGATCAGGGTTGTGATGGGGGAGGCACAGGCAGAGTGACAATGAAGGAGGACTTTCTGGAGGAGACATAAGAGCAATGATCTAAATGATGAGTAAAAGGTGGGTGGAGTGGGGAAAGGTGTGTAAGCAAAAGGAACAGTACAATATGTACAAAGACCCAGGGGTGAAAGGGAAGCAATTTTTTTTTTTTTTTTTACTTTTACAGAATAAGGTATGCCCTATGGTGGTGGAGCACAGCAGTGACCAGGACAACCCTGGCTCTGCCTCATACTCCCAGCCCATAAAGAACACAGATCCATCACCAGTGATGACCCAGAATGCTCAGGCATGGGTTGGGAGAGCTCAAAAGGGGGTGCCTGACCCAGACAGGGGAGTCAGCTAGGGCTCCCTGAAGGAGGGGCCATCTGAACTAAGACCTTAGGAATGAGGAGCTAGCTGATTAAGGGAAGAGAAGAACAGAGGGAACAACCTGTGCAAAGGCCTGGAGGGAGGAAGTCTAGGAGTTGCCAGAAATTGCCAATAGGTCAGTCAGGCCAAAAAGGGTAAAAGCAGACACGTCCACAAACTGAGAACACAAGATTGCTGGGGCCCGCCCATGGCTCACTCGGGAGAGTGTGGTGCTGATAACACCAAGACCACGTGTTCAGATCCCTAATATAGCGATGGCCGGTTAGCTCACTTGGGAGAGCGTGGTGCTGACAACACCAAGTCAAGGGTTAAGATCCCCTTACAGGTCATCTTTATATAACAACAACAACAAACAAACAAGACGAACCAAGATTGCTAGAGACTAAGGACGCAAGGTTCTCCAACCCCTTCTCCCAGCCATGACCTTAGGGCTAGGGGACGCTTGGCTCTCAGAGGTGTCCATAACTCAGATGTTTTGCCTAAGGGCCAAGGGGCCCCAGACGCCTGTGCTGGAAACCAAAACAGAACCCCCTGTTTTTCCTCCATGTTTAATTCGGTATCACAGGAGCACCAATAAATAGTTCTTTCCCACCCCCGCAATCTTCCTCCTGCCCGGGATAAGGCCCCAGGCGCCGGCGATCCCGTCGGGGGAAGTCGCCTGCAGCCCAGAGCGCCGCGGCTCAGGCCAGCTAAGCCGCAGCACACGCAAAATTCCCGGGAGAGTTCCAAAGGGGCGGGCCCAAGGTTTCCGACAGTGGGCGGGGCCTCGGATTGCCGCCGCGTGCGTGAGAGGGCGGAGCCTCGCCGAGACGTCCCCCAGGGGGCGTGGGCACTCAGGGGGCGTGGTTCTCATCAGCCGCGGTGACGATAACGTCCATCCAAATGCGCATAGCTTCGGGGCTCGGGGCCACCATGTAGAAAAGGCGTTCATAGGTTTTGACGCAGAACGTCAGGCGGGGGCTGGGGCTCTGGAATAAGCAGCCAGAGTGAGGGTAGTTGAGACACACGCCGGCCACAGTCTGGGTTCGACCCAGCCCTGCTACTTACAGGCTGTGTGGTAGCATTGGGCAAGTGACTTAAGACTCTGAATCTCAGCTCCCCTGTCTTCTTAACTGATGCTACCTACCTCATTGAGTACTGAGGATTAAATGAATTAACACAGGAAGGTGCTTAAAATTAACATATGCAAAGCGCTGTTATTAAATTAGGAGCATGAGAAATTTAAAAGCCTTCCCCCAGCTTACTTTCTCCTGTATCGGAAATAGGGGCATTCAAATTCCACCTCCCCCAAATCTAGATCCCCCTGGTTTGTAACTGCTTGTAACTGGGGAAAGTTAGTGCCTAGAATCCATTAACGAGTAAATCCCTTACATCCATTATCTGTAACACTGACGGAATGGGTTGAAGTGTGCCCGTTTTGCAGATAAGAAAACTAAGGATGGAGAAGGGATTCCAACCTAAGGTCTAAAAAGCCAAAGCTGGTTGCTCCCCACAGTTTTCTGAACATTGTATCAATTACCAACATTTAAATTTCTGGCACTGCACTTTTCTAAAAGTTCCAATTGCTGAGTTCTCTGAGGAAAAATAAATACAATAGGACGCCATGGGGCCTATTCCCATTTGGCAACTACAGACAGAAGCCAAGTAATGACCGTCTTGTTCTAGGTTGCCTCTGCCTTTTTCATTTATTCCCAGCTGGGCATCAGAGTTTGTGAACATTTTGCTCTAAAACTTTTGTTTCAAGAAAATTACCAATGGATGACAGCCAGAGACTGAGCTCTTAATTTTTGTTCCCTACAGTGACATGACCTGTTGGTCTCCTCTGCTGGCTGGTGAGTATTCTGAAGGGACTGTGGGCGGCCTTCCCCAGGACAAGAGAGGGATGAGATAGGGATTGACTACAGGGGCTCTGATTGGGAGGGAAGGGGGGCCCAGAGGGGGCTTTACCTTGAAGGCACAGCGTAAGTGGTCATAATAGACTTCCTCGATGGCCTGGAAGTAGATGACGCCTTTGAGTTTGGTCTCCTCCTTGTCTGGCAGAGGAAGGTAAGGGAGAAACAGCCAGTGAGGGATATGTGTATGTGCATGTCTGGGTGGGGGTCATTGGGCCCAAGTCCTGAGACTGGGTTTGGGGTGAGGGACATGGTGACAGAGTCTGAAGTTCCCTAGAATACCATGGTTGGGAAGTAAGTGTTGATGCTAGGTGGTGATCGGTGTGGAGACCGGACAAGATTGGGGATTAGGGTCTGGGGAGCTGGAATGCCTTGGTCCCTGAGAAGGGAAAAAACTCAAACAGAGGTTCAGAATAATTGATACCCCTGGAGAGGAAGGACAAGAGTCCTGGACTCCTGGGTTTTGAGGGTGGAAGGGTGCTGACAATGCTGGTTCAAACTCCTGGGTATTTTAGAAAAAGGGAGTCTGGAGAGCCAAAATTGTACTAAACTGCTGTCTATGTTAGTGAGGAGGGCTGGGTGTTTGGGTTCTGGGTGGCTTAACTAAGAAGGGGCTGGGGATCTGGACTCCTGGACCCTGGGAGATGAGAGGGCTGGGAGCCTAGATTCCTGGGTTGTGGGGAAGGCAGGTGAGAGAAGAAGGGGCTGGGGGCCAGGACTCCTGTGTGCCTGAGTGGAACAGCCTCCAGAATGGACTTCCAGTGTCCTGGGGGCCCAAGGTAGCCAGGCTGGGCTTACCCGCGTAGTAGGACAGGCGGCGGGCCTGGCGGTCAAAACAGAACCATCGCTTCCTCCAGGTCTTGATGCGGCCACCCATCTTCACCAGGGGCCCGCGGCAGCAGCTCCCGGTCAGCCGCACATGTGGGCAGTTTTCCAGGTTGTGGCCCCATCGTTCCAGGTGCTGCTGGAGATCCAAGACGCGGGGGCCTGGAGGGCGGAGTGGGGGTGTGGGTGGGGCCTGGGGAGCAAAGAGAAGGGGCAGCTGAGGTGGGGATGGGGCATTCTGCAGCCTGGACCCCCAATGGGAACCAGTCATGGCAGCTCATATGTAAGGCCAGCTGCAGCATTTAGACAGTAATGTTATTAATGACGATAATGATAATGATCCCAAAAGCCACATTTATTGACTATGACACTCTGCCCAGGGCTTTGTGAACATCAATGCTGTGCCTCCTCATGGCCACTCCTCAGTATAGGACTACTATGAGCCCCATTTTACAGATGAATAAACTGAGGTACAGAGAGATGAACTCATACACCCTAAGTCACACAGAGCTTCTAGGTGGCAGAGCTGGGACGTGAGCGCAGGTATTCCTGACTCTAGGGCTCACCCTGAAACACCAGAGGCATATCACAGAAGTGAAGGGCCTCTGGGTCAGAGTTCCCCAAGTGGGGACCTCAGTGCTGCCTCTGCAAAACAGGGATCAAACAGTAAGTGATCAATAAATGAGAGCATTGTTTACATTATTGTTGTTGTTGTTATTCTTATTGTGATGAAATTAGTGATATTATCCAGTGCTAAGCACTTTCTACATATAATCTCTTTGCTCCCTCAAGCTAACCTGGGGGTAAGTACATTTATCCCCATTTTACAGATGTGAAAACCAAGACTCAGAGAGGTTGAGTCACTAGTCCCAAGTCACACAGCCAGAGTTAACTGAGCCAGGACTCACCAGGCAGAGTGATCATCTCAGGTGTTCATAAAGGTTAGAGGAGACAAATTAAGAGAATAGAAGTGTGTACTGTTTATGAGAGTCCTGACCATGGGCTGGCCCGATCACAACTATTCTTCCCAAATAATCCCTGCAAAGAATGGTACAATCCCGAGATCAAACTGAGGATCAGGGCAGTACATCTCAGACTCCTCTGTGTGAGTGCATCCCCTGGGGATTTTGTTAAATTGCAGACTCTGATCTGGTAATTCCAGGGTGGGGCCTAGGATGGGGGTGAGGTTGAGGTTCTGCATGTCTAACAATCTCCCACGTTGGTCCAGTGACCATACATTGAGAATCAAGGGCTTAGAAAATTGAAGGGAGGCCAGAGAAAGAAGAGATGAGGAATAGAGAGATGAGACTCATTTGTTGGAGACAGGGGAGAGTGACAAGGAAGGGAAATAAGTGTGTGTGGGGGGGGGCGTGGAACTGCACAGGGGAAGGTCTGGTTTAAGGGCACTCACTGGGGCCTGGAATCTTCTATGATCATCTCAACAAATCCACACAGTAATAATAACGACCACCACCATGTATGGAAGCTCCCACTAGGTGTTGGGCACTGTGCCAAGTGATCACAGTGATGACCTCATTTCTTCTTCAAAACAACCCATTAAGGTCTCCATTTGACAGATGAGGAAACTGAGGCTTTTAGAGAGGAAGTGACTCACCAAGGTCACCCAGCTAGGATGCGACAGAGCCAGGTCCCAATCCAGTAGGAAAGCAGGGATGGGCTCGGGACTTTCGACTTCACTGCTGCCCAGCCGTGTCACCTTCGTGGAACCCCTGCCTCTCTGGGAGCCTCAATCCTTGGGCTGAAACACGAGGGATACCATAGCACCCACAGGGCTGTCTCAGGGATGAGCTAGGTGACATCAGGTTCTCCAACCCAGAGATTCCACTTCTAGACATGAATCCGGAGACACTTGCTCATGTGTACAAAGGACAGCAGGGGTGTGGGGGGGGAGGGGCGCTGCACTACAGGGGACTGTTTAATAAATGATGATGCTACAAAGTAGGGGAAACACAAAGCAGGAGAACTTCATTTTTAATGAAGTCAAGCTTATGCCTACCAGTCCAGAAGTTTCCACTGCCTTTTCTGCTTTAGTTTGCTCCCTGGCTTTAATTAGCATCAGACATGCTTTTATTTTACTTATTGTTGTTGCTTTTTGTCTACCTCCCCCTGCTAAACATCCGCTTCCCTGAGGGCTGGGATTTTTATTTTGGACACCGTTTGTAGACACCGCTGTGTGTCCAGCACACAGTAGGCACTCAGTAAATATTGGCTGAAATGAATAAAGGAAGGACAAATGGTTGAGAAAACAAAAAGCAGGTTGGGAATGATACATTTGTTTATAGGAGGAAGAAACACAAGATATGGTTGATCGGTGTATGCACGTGGAAAAGTCTAGGGACGATTCAAAGGCTTTTCAACAATACAAAACACCGCACAGAAGTGAGACAGAAAGGAAGAAGAAAGTGATCTTCACTTTTTTTTTTTCCTGGCAGCTGGCCAGTGAGGGGACCTAAGTGACCTTCACTTTCTTGACGCTGTGTCGCTCTTTATAACAAAACTGTATTCATGCTATTAGCATAGGTAAAAATAAAATTATAATAAGGAAGCTGTCAACTGAATCCAGAATGTGAAAAAAATCTACGAGATAAATGATTTGATTTTTCTACAAATAAATGGCATTAAAAAAAAAAAAAAAAAACATGGGAAGGAGTAGAGATTTCATAGACATTTCAACCAAATGTATAGTGTATGCTTTGTTTGCATTTAGATTCAAATAAACCAACTATTCAAAGACATTTTGGAGACAATTAGGGAAATGTGAATATGACCTATATATTAGGATGTTACAAAATTATTAATAATCTTGTAAGGTGTAACGGTAGAGTTTTTATATTTAAAAAAAAAGATCTATTGGAGATATACAGTGAAATAGATGAAAGGATGCAATATCTGGAATTATGCTTTCATATATTCCAGTGCAGAGTGGGATGTAGGTACGAGATTAGTAAAACAAAGTTGGCAAGTAAAACAGGATTCACTATTGGTAATTACTGAAGCTGCACAGTGGATACGTGGGGCTTTATTAATCTATTCTCTCTAGCTTTGCATATGCCCGAATATTTTTATAACAAAAAGAGTTTAGGGGGCTGGCCCGTGGCTTACTTGGGAGAGCGTGGTGCTGACACCACCAAGTCAAGGGTTAAGATCCCCCTACCGGTCATCTTTAAAAAAAAACCAACATTATAAAATAAAAAAATAAAAATAAAAATAAAAAATAAAAAGAGTTTAAAAGGAAAAAATAAATTTTAAAAAATTTTAAATGATTTTCAAAAGTCCCAGCGTGTACTTGCCCTCATTCTGTAGTAACTGCCGACATTGTCACCAATGTGCAGAAAAGGAAACTGAGGCACAAAGTGGAACAAGTTACCGAGGGCATGCCATGGATACAGATACTGAAATGGGAACAGAAACTGGGTCCTTTTTAGTTCTCTTTCCCTTGCCAAGCCCAGGACACTTTTCTGTTTCATTGGAGGAGAGGAAAAGGTGAGATATAAGAAAGGACATAGGCCAGGGGGAGGAAAAGAGCAGGGAGAGGTGGGGGTGAGGGCAGGGATGCGACTGACCATGATGGCAGGAACAGCCTGGCCTGAGGAAACTTCTGTGCTCCTTCTCATCCCTTCCTGTGGATTCAGGATGAAGGAGTCAATGAGGATGCTGGCCCATAAAATGTGGGGAAAAAATGTACTTAGTTCCTGGGTCCTGAGAAAGGAAGGGCAGGGGCCTGGATTCCTGAATCTGAGGCAAGAGGGGCTGATGGCTCAGATCCTGGGTCTGAGGGAGGAGGGGCTGGGGGCCTGGACTCCTGGGTCTGAGGGAGGAGGGGGTTGAGGTAGGGTCTCCTTTCCCTAAGGAAGAGGGTCTGGGGACTCACCCTGGCCTTGAGCAGCCGCTCTCTCTCTGCCACAGCCTGCTGCAGAAGCCGCTCCATATGGGCAATGTCTGGGTGGAGGGCCCCACAGCTAGGAGGAGGGAGCAGAGACCAAGGTGGGTGACAGTGGCCTAGGCTCTTCCCCCCATTTCTCCACCTTCTCCCTGATGTCTCACCTATTCCCATGGCCACAGTTCAGCAGCTGATAGAGGGAGTATCTCCTGGTGTCCCCTGCTGCTGGCGAGAGAGCCGAGGCCTGCAGGGATCCTGGGGGAGAGGGGACCAGGTTAGGAGGCCGGATACTCCCTTGTCCCCCCTGCAGGCATCCATGCAAGTTTCCTCCATTCTCTGCTGAAAGAGGGGGAGATGGGGAGAGGAAGGTAGGTGGGGAGCAGGAGGGGTCCTCACCAGTACAATGGAGGGACAGAGGCCGGGGGGATCCTCTCTGGCTCACCCTCTCTCCTCTTTTCCGGGGCAGGCTTCCAGTCCTCTGGAGGCCAATGGAGCCCTGAAGACACACAGGAAAGATGTTAGTTAGATCTTAACCATAAGTCAGAGAATTGTCCAGTAAAACCACCAGCTAATTGACACAGATCAAAAAGGCCACTGCCAACATGATGCTGAGTGAAAGAAGCCGGAGACAAAGGACTGCACAGTGTATGATCCCATTTATATAAAATTCCAGAAGAGGTAAATCAATAGAGACAGGAAGTAGAATAGTGGTTTCTAGGGCTGGGGAAGATAGAGGAATTGAGGGGTGATGCCTAAGGGGTACAGAGTTTTGGGGGGGAGTGATGAATCTGCTCTAAAATCGATTGTGGTGATGGTTGAACAACTCTGTGAATATTCTAAAAGTAACTGAATTGTACACTTAAAATGAGTGAACTGTATGATTTGTAAATTATATCTCAATAAAACTGTTTTTAAAAGACACCCCATTGTGCTGGTGGGGATGCAGGGAACCCAGACACTCTCACACAATGCTGGGGGTGTTCTATTGGAACAATCTTTAGGGTTGCCAATTTGGCTTTTTCTTTCTTTCTTTTTTTTTTAATCAAAATGGCAAATGCATAAATCATCAAGCCCTAATCCACTTCTAGGGATTTAGCCTATAAATCCACTCATACCTTTGAAAAATGATCCAAGTTCAAGGTTATTCCGTGCAGTGCCATCTGTGCTAGCAAAAGCCTGGACACCACCTAAGTGCCCTTCAGGCGGGTTTGGGGTAAATGAACCATGGCTCCTCCATGCTCTGGAGAAGTCTGCTGCATGTAAAGGGAGGAGGATGCTCTTTACATCCACATAGAACAGAATCATCAAGATAAAAGCAAGTACAGAAGAGTGCAAAGAGCTCACTACCAAGGCATAAAGAGGGGTGGGGTGTACCCCTGACTGGCTGTATCAACACAGAATGTCCTTGGGAAGACACATGGGAAACTGATCACCCTGGCTGCCCTGGGGAGGTAAACTGAGTAGAAGGGGAACACCAGCAGCATCTTTTCTCTGAATATCCTCCCACACTGTCTGAATTTTGAACAAAGTGAATGTTAGCTTTTTAAAAATCAATGAACATGACAACTAGATACAACTTGTGTTCCAGAACCAGAAAAAGAAATTTATTTTTTGGTTTTTGCTGGTCAACAACATGAGTGGGACAACTGACAAAATATAAGTCTGTAGATTTTAATAGTATTGTGTTAAAGTCAGTTTACGTGGTTATGAAAGAGAAGGGCCCTGACCTTAGGTAATAGATGTAGAAGGACTTAGGGGTAAAGGGGAATCATAGTTTAGAAAGAAAAATAAATTGTGTGTGTGTATAAAGACAGAGAAGACTGATAAAGGAAAAGTCAATTTGAGAGTAATAAAGAAATAAAACTGAAATAACTCTTTAAAGAAAAAAAAAGCAACAGCTCTGCGTGGACAATAAAGAGTAATAAACCTTAGTAAGTTGCTTAATGGGAGCATCAATCAGGATACCTACTGCCCTAGATCACAACTCATCAAATATATTTAATCCATGAATTAATAATGATGATAAAAGAAAAATCAAATTGGTCACCATGGGAGGGTGCTGGAAAACCAACTCTTTCTTTTGAAGACAGGTGAAACCATCAAGCATTTCCCCTGTATTTCCTACAAAAAAACATACTTCTGGGTAATCAAATAGTAAATAAGGGCTAGTTTCTCTTAACAGAGGTATTTTGAAAAATAAATGAAGAATGAATTTTACCTTTACAGAGGTATTTTGATAAATAAATGAAGAAAGAATTTGCAACCTCTAATGAATGAATCCATGGGCCTAGGAGCTGGTACCACTAAAAGAGAAACAATAGTCACACTGCCCCTAGGAAGACTTGCCAAAATGCAGGACCCAAATCTGGTCAAGCCTGTACATCCAACAGGAAATACAGAGGCAGAGGAAGGTGACCAGGACCCCAAGGATGTAATCAGCAAACGCTGACTGGGAAGCTCTACGTAACAATGATTTGGTTTCTTCACCAAATAAACTTCAAGGGAGACAAAGAAATGGAAGGAAAGCCTATGGATTGCAGAGATGTAAAAGATGTAAAAGCTTCTCTCTCTCTCTCTCTCTCTCTCTCACACACACACACACACACACAATTTATTTTTCTTTCTGAACTAAAGACTAAATGATAGTGTTCAGGAATAGACACTTGATTGCCAGAACTTAAATTTAAGAAAGCTACTACTATAAAAGTTAGGCTGGTGGTTATTCTCAGAGCATAAATAGGGGATGTCATTGAGGCGGGCAGGTGGCAGGCTTCTGGGGTGGCTGCCAGTTCTACCTCCTGACACAAGTGGCAGTTACCAGAGTGTCCCCACATGCCGTAGTTTCGCTCTTACACGCATTTGCTTTCTACCATTTCGTTTATCTACAGTTAACCATGGTCCAAAAATATTAAATGAAAAATTCCAGAAGTAAACAATATAGAAGCTTTTGACTGCGTGCCATTTTGAGTGGTGATGAAATCTCACACCATCC